ATTTTTTGAAGAACACCTCCCCCTCACCCTCATGCTCCCCCTCTTGAACATAGCCCGCTGTCAAATCACTCATTCCAAGGGCCCGTCATTATCCGTCGGCACACGAATTGCCCATTTCTCATTTTCTTACCCCCACGCGCCCTCCACATTCCCTTCTTCTGCTTCCAGCCATTCCGTAGCGCTCCGGAAATTTCGGATTAGCGCGAGAAATGGGTTTCTTGCGCTTTAGCTACGGTACTTTGAAAAATCCAAAACCACAAAATACGGAGACTACAATTGCGATAACTACCCACTTCACAGAAAAATCATGTAAATTAAGCATATTACAGAAAATTAAAGTTTATCTTTCCGATTTCACAAAGTTTTTGACGGGTTTAACAAAAATGAAGAGAGCACTGTTCTCTATCTTGAGGGTTTTTTGCTTTACGAAAATCTCGTTTAAACCGGCAGTTTTAATCCTGTTTTCTCTTCAAAATCGGCAGCAACCGACCCGAAAATTACCATTATCGATAATTACTCAAAATCGGCATTAATTTCGAAAACATCGTTGAAAAAGCCCGGCAAAATTTTCAAAAAATTAGTTTTTTAGCGATAACTTTTTATCTTACATTATTACGATTTCAAAATTTGGTAGCAAACAGTTTTCATGGGTTCGCATCGCTGATAGGAATCTGGTGTTCATCGGATAGAAGGCGGCCAACTGCCAAGGAGGTGTAGATGTGGTCCGCATCTTCAAGAAGTTTACCCCTTCACCTCAACCCTCCAGAAGCCTTTCCTGAATTCCAGAAGTGGGGGTGAAGGCTCCGTTTTTTCCGGGTGACTAGCCCCAGGTGAAAGCGGCCCGTGTGTATGTGTGGCTGGAGGGAATGGATAAGAGGGGAGGATCTCTAAGCAAAAAGGCGGGTTGGATATCTTGCTGTGGGTTGTGCGTACAAATTCGATCTTCACCCAGGAGGGGTGGCTGTGGGCCATATCCCTTCCTCCCTCCCCCCCTCGAGACATCTCTTCTTCGTCTGTTTATCCCAGATCTCCATCCCTTTCACATTTCCATCTCATCCCCTCCCCCCACATCCTGTATCCGGTCGGTCGGCGTTCCTGAAGTTTTTTTTTTGCGAAAAAGTGCTACTTTTTAGGGTTGAGCTATTTTTTTGCGAAGACTTTACTATATACAGAAATGTCTGTATTTCCTTTTCCGTCTCTGCGTTTGCATATAAACTTCCATGATGACGTTCCGCGTCTAGAACTTCATGGAAGCCTTTTTGGATATAGAAGAAACGTCATTAGGTGCAGAATGAAGCACCGGCGCGCGAAATATCAGGTTTTTGAATAAATTCAAAAACTAAAAAGATATTATGTTTTACTGTAGCTATTTTCAGATTATAATGTTTTGGACCGCTATTAAAAAACTTAGTAGGTTTTTTGATGCCTTAATGGCATGTTAAACAATCGAAAAAATAGCGACTGTTCCAAAAACTAGCTTTTTGGCTGCATTTTTAAAAGTTATCTTTGTTTTTGCCATAACTTTTTGTTATATTACAGTATTTTGAGCCGTCATCAAAAGGCTTAGTAACTTTTTTTGGCGCTCTATCGAATGGCGTCGAGAAAATCCCGAAAAAATAGCGAAAAAATTGAAAATTTTGGGCCCTCGGGCTGGGGAGATACAGTAACCGCAGCAAAAATTGCCATTTTCGCGATTATACTAAGTTTCTGTCGCTTTGAAAAACTTAATAACCGTCTCACGTGTCTAGGGAACCCGTAGCACTCCTTGTTTTCAAGTAAGAGGCCATGGCAAATAGCACTCAATGGGGATCACGTTGAGTTGAGTGCGGTCGGGCAGCTAGCCAGTAGGTGTCCATAGAACAAGTACGGAATGTGAAATCCAGTTATCTATGTTTTGTCGGCGATGCCACTTCCTAATGCGGTTAGAACTGAAATGTGAAAACATGTTGAACTTCCTGCTTGGGCATTATGGCTGAGGGGGAGGGGAGCTGCTTGAAGCGAGTGGTGGGGGGGGACACAATGCAGATGCATTTCTGAGGGATTTCTGAGGGGGAGGAACTTGGGTTTTCGGAGGGGAGGAACGTTGTTCATTTTACGTTCGGGTTGATGGGTTGGGTTTGAATTTTAGCTAGTAGATGATGTTTTTTAGAGCGGTTGATTAGGGCTGAGCATCGGTTTTGGCCTATTGCTCAGGCTCAAATAGCTTTTGCAGCAGCAAAAACTAATAATGGGCCTCATTTTTTATATATTGTCTCTATTTTTATTAATGTATGTTTCATACCGAATCTTTTTGCTGGGCTGTTAGCGCGGGGAGGGCGGGATTTTTAACGGAAGAAATGACATTTTTTTCAAGTACGGCCCTATACTTTTTGGTCAAAAATGCACGAAAATAAGCAAAAAAAGATAAAAGTTCCAATTTTTGCTTTTTATAAATATTTTACATACCCTTTTGCCAATAAAAACTAACAATACCACGATGAAAATCCAGTATATATTAAAAAAGGCCTAGGCGGAAAAAAATTATTTTCCCCCGCTATCTCCCCCCGCTAACAGTCCAGTACCAGTCTAATTCTCCCTAAAAACTGCACCCGATTCCACTTCACTCCCCACCGCTTTTGTACCCAAATACACCCCACACTTACAGGCCTCCACCTCATTTCCCCACCACCCGCCCAACAAATATGAAATATGAAGCGCGGCACCTGGTACAGCCCCTTCCAGTCCCCTTCCTTTCCCCGCTTCTCCAAAATCGTGTGAATGGGTCTCAAGGCCCCCCAAAGAAGAACGGCCACAAAATTGGCCCTTTGACCAATTGAGCGCCATGAGGCCCAGCCAAACCGCCGCGCATTTTTCAACCCACCCCGAGATGGGCTTTGCCTCCGCCACCAATCGTCTCGGCTTTTTGGGGGGATTTTATCGGCTTTGAAGGGGATTTCTCGATTTCAATTAACTCGGAGATATCAGGTTTGGAAAACAGCTTTGCGGCCAAGCTTAGGCCCGTTTTGGACACGAGGTCGGAAATTTGCATATTTTTTCCAAAATGTCTATTTCAGAAATATAGAGGTATCTGATTTGGCAATTTTTATGCGCCACTGCCACTTCCGGTGCAAGCAAATGGCTTTGTAGCAAACGCCGTAGCCGCGCTTTTCTCAAAAATTTGAAGAACAGCTTCGAAAAACCCCCGGTTTTATTGAATTTGATAGGCTTAGGCTTAGGTTTTTGCTTAGGTTGCTTACGAAAGCAATGAACTTCTCCCAATTTTTTTCCTCTTTCCATCGTTTTTGCTATTTTATTAAAACCTGTTACAGTTTACATTAATATTATTCCCATATATGGACACTACGCACCTAATGATACCGAATTTTTTGGCTCAATCTCCCACCGGAAGTGGGAATTTTGCCACGAACCCAGATTTCAAACGAACGCCCCCACCCCACAACTAATTACTTCTCCTCCAGCGATCGACATGCACATATTTATTCGGCGCACACAAAATTAGGCTTTCCTGGGGTTTTATGGGTTTCGTTGGGCAAAGGGGGCAAGGGTTTTGTGGTATGCGGGCCTAAGGCCGGCCGGGTAAAAGGCACTTTTCCCCCAGACCGATTAATGAGCTATGGGGGGAGATCGGGCCGCTAGATAGCCGCCAGGCTGCCACCGAGGCTTTTACGAGTTTTCCTTGAATTTCAATGCGAGCACATTTTATTTGGAACCGCTCTAAAAGCTTTTTTTATAGTTTAAACATGGTTTTTCTCGCGCTAGAAAAATCTCATAATATATTTTTCGGGCCTCTATCGAATTGTTTATTCAAAATATAGAGAATATTGAAATGTCGAAAAACGGTTTTCCCTCCATCGTTTTCAAACATAGGGCTGCTAAAATTAATTTTTTTGTATAGTTTTTGACGCTCTATCAAATGGCATTCGCGAAATCACAAAGCAATTCAAAATATTAGCAATAATTTTTTAACACACCCGTCCTTTATCCTATGTGTTGTCCAACCCGTTACCCGTTAAGTGTAGCTTCTAGCATGGTATCTATAGAAATCCATGCCTTGCCTACCCCTTTAAACTACATTTTTATGCAACCCTATAACCTCCAGACATCCTAGACATCGCAGGTCACAAAAATCGCACGAATCCCAGGAAATTGGTTTCTTTTTAATAATTCTCCGTCTACCACCTCTATACAACCTCAAAAACCCTTTGGAAACTAGAATATGCCCCCAATTTCCGGTCCCTGCACACAGCAATCAGATGACGGAGACTCCACCCTTCGAATTCGAACTTTTTTTCTGCTCCCCGCCAGCGGCGTTCGAATTACACCGGGCGCGCAATTTCCGGCTATTTGCCGTCGTTCAGGGGATGGGGGGAAGCCGCCTTTTAGCAAAGCACACTAGGCGGCGGACTCCTTTGTGGCGGAGGTGAGACTCGGGTGAAATTCTGATGAGCCTGAAACGGAGGGTGAGGAGGGGGTGAGGAGGGCCATTCTCGACGAAACCGAGGCTCTTTCAGAGGGCACTTGGCTCTATCCAAGGGCAGAAGGAGGGGGAGGAGGAGGAGCAGGAGATGGGCACAAGTGCTTATTTTTTCCGGTCGCTTCTTCGGGAATTTCAAATGAATCCGGAACTGGATATTGGCTTTTTGAAGCTTATGTTTTTTAGCTTCCCTTATTGTAATTTTTAAAAATTTGAATGTTTAAATTTTAAATAAAATTTAAAATTCGTTCTGTTTATTTTGTCGAGATTTCATTTTGTCGAAATTATTTTTTAATTGCGTTTTAAAATTTCCATTTGCGGAATTGCGTTTTTTTTTAATCCGAAAATAGCCAGACACACCGTTTTTTCGTAAAATTCCCTTTCGGCGTTTTAATTTGTGAAATTTTAAATTAATTTTATTCCTGATTTTTTTGCACTCGATTCTCTCATGCCAGTATGTTTTCTAAACGTAATTCGAGGATTATTTCAGCTGCCGGGCTACCGAGCGCCAATGCGATGATCGGGAATGCGTCGGTGGTCGGGGGCACTGATCGTCTTCCTCTACATTTATTCACTGCTAGCACTTCCGCATCCGCAGGTAGATGGCCTACCCACTTCGATACCTTTACTTTCAGGACCCCTCGAGCCAATACCGCAACAATCTGATCGCCGAGCACTCACGAAAGACATTTCGCGAAACAGACGCGGAAGAGACGATTCAATCGATTTTGGACGATATTCCGGAAGCGACAGCCGTAGTTTAGAGTCAAAAATTTAAAAAGGGGTATTTAGGATACATTTTCGACGCGACAACAGCCAATCACGGAGCCGCTGAAGCATTTCGCGAACGACTTTGCCGAGAGTGCGCGAGAAAATTTAGAAAAGGGGTGGGTGTAGAATCTGCCTAAGCCGAAGCCTAAACCTAAGCCTAAGCCTACCCTGAGCTTAACCTAAACTCCCATTTTTGCAGGGAAGATGCGAACATTTTCAAAAAGCTCTGGTACGACCCAGACTACAAAGTCCATTCTCTATGTGAGCCGCACAGTTCTGGCAACCAGAACGAGCAGCTTGTTTGGTAGGCGGTGTTCATCTACTTGTCGCCCGAGCTTTAGGACAGAATCTGGGGATCGGCTGCTCAAAGTCATTGGAAACGGGGTTGTCAAGGATGGGTACAATATGTTTATGGCGCCGAATCAAGCGAGGGGTTAGTTTCTCTATATATAATTTTTATAACGTTTTGCATAGTTTTTGATTGCTAGAAAGCTACAAAAGATTTCAAAGATTTTTGAAAATTCGAAGATTTTTACTTTTTTTGGTCTTTTTATCCATTTTTGGCAAAAACTCAAAAATTTCTCAAATTTTTTATAAGTTTTTAGGAGCTGTTTCTATCTAAAAACCATGTAAAATGTTAAAACACTGTTTAATTCCGTCATAGGACCGTGGGGATGACTGGGAAAACATACTTTTCCGGCTCCCCCCGTTAACATGACAAAGTCTAGTGCCATAATTTTTAGGAAAACGTACAGATGTCTACGTAGCGATGTATATCGAATCCATGTCGTCATTTAAGGCTCAGACGATGGTAAGTACTTTTTAATGCTAATTTTTAATTGTTTTTTTAGGATTTCGAAATGGACATGTACCTGGCGATGGGCTGGTTTGACCGTAGGCTGGCCCACAATTGTACGCATCCCATTCTGGTGACGAGCAAGGTTGGAAAAAGATAAATAGTGGAAAAAAAGTTTTTAGGTGATCGCCGACCGCATCTGGCACCCAGATCTCTATTTTGTCAACTCAAAATTTGCATATCTACAGGAGGTTTGGGATTTTTGGTACTGGACTGTTAGCGGCGGTTAGCAGTAGCAGTAACTAATTTTTGCCCGTAATACGGTAATACATAAAATATAAACCATTTTAGGGAATTTTACACAGTTTTTAGCTATAAAAATCTTCTGCATTTGAACATTTTTTATTTCTCGGGAAAAATATATGAAAAATGATTGAAAAAGATCAAAGGGTTCAAATTTTCAACGATTTTTCAATTCTTTTTGTAACTTTTTAGCAATCTGACCTACTAATAAATTACAAAAATTTAGGTGACAACCCCCAACTTCATGGTGGTCGTCTACCCGGACGGGTTGGTGTTCAAATCGGTGCGCGTGGATGTGACCCTGTCTTGTATGCTGGAGCTACGACTCTTTCCAATGGACTTCCAGGAATGCCCGATTACCATACAAAGCTGTATGCTTTTTTGGAAACTAAAAATCCCCTTTTAGATGCCTTCATCGAAAACATTGTCAAACTAAATTGGCATATCGATCGACCGCATTTTCCGATCGGGTCTAATCAGGCGATAAAGGTATATATTTAATTGGTAATCTTTGCTTAACGGGGGGGGCTTTCGGCATTTTCTACTTTTTGTCGGGATTTCACAAATTTGATCGGAAAGGGCATGAAAAATTATACTAAAAATTTAATTCCAACACGAAATAACTTAATCCAAATAGGTTATTATTAATTTATGCATTTTCGGCATTTTCTACTTTTTGTCGGTATTTCACGAATGTCATCGGATCGAGGGTCAAAAATATGCTACAATATTTAATTTCGGCCCGAAATACCATAGCTGGTCTGAATAAAATTAAATATTTTAGTACTTTGCAAAGTAGAATCTAAATTGTATTATAGAGTATTAATTTTATATGTTATATATATTTATAGTTATATATTCTACCATAATTAACATAATTTGGACGCTCAAATAAATAAGACGATCATTTTAAAATACAAAATTTGTTTTGGCGCGTCCCCCCGTTAAGCAACCGTTACCGATTTAATCCACCTCTCAAAACCATATATATTTTAGCTAAACGATATGGTAATTGTTCGGACAAGATTCGAAGACTGTTCCGGGGCATACCCGATGTTTCGCGGCAGCTGTAAGTCGATTCATTTTCCTACCTCTTAATTTTCTTTAAAACCCCTTTATATGGCATTCACGCTTGCCTCAACCCAAATCCTTACTTGAAAACGATCATTTTCTACCCTCCCCACCCGCATAGCTCCTAATTTTTGTGTAGCTGGCGACTCACGGCGGCTTTTTGGTGAAAAATGTGTCTATTCCTTTGTTTTTTTGATGCTGGCGTTGAGCTTTAGCTTTCGAGTCTTACCCACCCTCTACTGTAAGGCATGTGTATTTGTGAAAAATGTTATATTCAAATAGGGCTTAGGTTGTCAGAAATGTTTGCAGATTTTGGATATGTTTTGCCATATTCCCTCACATCGTAATTTAATGTTATATAGATTTGCCAATAACAATTAATTTTAATTCAGCAAACCTTTGCGCTATTTCTGTTTCGTCGAAAAACGTTTTTAAATTGTCATTTTGTCGAAATTCATAATATCGAAATTCTCTTCGTCGAAAATCATTTTGTCGAAACAACATTTGCCGAGCCTCCATTATTTCGAAATTTCAGTATTTCGACGTTTTCAGTATTTTTTGAAATTATGATTTTCGGCGTTTTGAAAATAACCTGATTTAACCTGATTTTAAAATACCATTTTTCACAAATATAATTTCCTTATAAGCCTTTTAAATCTGCCCTCCGTCTGTCCTACAAAATCGATTCAATGAATTAATCGTAAGGCTTGGGAGCGTGATTTCACAGTCCCTTTAAAATATGTTTTGCTTAAGTTCCAATCATTTTCATAACATTTGCATTTAAAAACCCTTACAGTAATCCGGAGCAGCTCACAGTAGCTGCCCAAGATTAGATCTATATTCGTAGCCCCCAAATCTGGTCGCTTTTAGGCAAGAACGAGAGCTGCTACGGTAATTCCAATGCACTACCTGGCTGCCAACCCAAGCCTCACAATCGGTTCTAATTTTTTTTTGGGTGCCCAAAAACCGGAAACATTACAATGAATATATTTTTTCGATGAGATGTATATCATTTGGGTTTCCATTGTTGGCTGCCGTCTTGCACCCCCTAATCGACCGTCTTTTTCAACCGAATAACCATGCCAAACCCTTTTTTCCTTTGTGTCGCGTGCCGCATTCCCCATCCCTCGGTTCCTTTTTTGGCTGGTCTTACGGTGGTTTTTGTGGAGAGGGGTATCGATATTTTTCAGCCAACTGGTCGTGTATCCAGGCGTTCATCGTGATGAAACGGCTCGTGTTGTTTCATATTATCCAGACGTATATTCCGACGGGTAAGGATTTTAATAAGATATTTTGTTTTTCTTATATCAGCTTTTAATGTGGCTTTACTTTGGATTGATTCCGGATGTAGCCGCGATACGCAACGCGTAGCCGCTCGTTTTCCTTGCGTAGTCGATCCTTGCGTTGCGTATCGCACATGCGGCCAAAATTCGTAATAAAACTTAGTAAGGGAATATGGATTTTGCCGCGAAGCAGCCGCGACGCGACCTCCAGACTCCAAAACAGCGCGCGTCGCGTGTTGCGACCGCGGCAAAAATGCGAAATAGACTCGCAGTAGGGCAAAATGGATTTTGCCGCGACGTAACCGCCACGCGTAATTTTTTGCACGACTCGAGAATCCAGAATCGTACGCGCGTTGCATGTCGCGGCCGCTAAAAATCCACAGCCTTACCTTGTCGGTGCCTTTAAAATATGGTGACTTCAAAAACCTTACCTCAAGCAAGCTGGCAGAAATTACTTGCCCTTCTTTAGGAATGCTGGTGGTCATCTCCTGGATGTCATTCTGGCTTGACCCACGAGCATCCCCTGCCAGGTCCGGCAATCAATTTGCATTAACCTTGTTCCCATTCCAGAATTTCTCTAACCATCACATCGCTCCTCACGTTGACTACAATGAGCAACGGTGCCCGTCAGGATTTACCACAGGTATAACGCATCCCTGGAACTTGAAATCAAACCATTTCCAGGTCTCCTACATCAAGGCGCTCGACATTTGGCTGACATTCTCGCAGGGGCTAATCTTCCTCGTGCTCCTCGAGTATTCGTTCGTCTCATTTTACATAACTCGTCGGGTCTTTGACTGCCAGCACCGCAAATTCCAGCATCATGTGGGGAACAATGGAAACCACAAGGCATCGGTAGGAGGATGTTCCATCTTCTATTATTTTCGAAATTATGGTGTGAAATCAACCCTCTTGCTTCTTTGCGTTTTGAGGTCAAGGTTTTTAAGACTATAATTTTATGAATAATTATTGGAAATCATGATTTTAAAAACGCTTTGACCTTAAAATTTGTAAGGTAAAATTGCGGCACAATTTTCCCTGGGTCAGACGTGTTTTAAAGGGACGTGAAAGGCAGCTTTTTATACTTTGTAGGTTATGGACTATAGAAAGTACCGGAATTGACTATACGCGGCGACTTTTCCGTACCACAGCGTAATCGATTACGTCATGGAAATAAACGGAAATCCGTATAAAATCGATAGCCAAATTCCATTGTCCTGCCTTTCCCGTCCCTAGTTGTAGTAACAGTGCAAAAATAATTTTATTACCGCAAAAATACGAGCAGGCCATGCAAAAAGCCCTCCCCGGATACCGGCGACGACGTTATAAATGTCGGGTGAGCAGCCACAACATTTTCAGCGCTTTTACACCGACCACCTCGATGATTTCGATGATCCGGTGGTACGGTGGCAAGCACCCACGGTTTTACTTTGGAACGCTATGAGGGTTGCTGATTGGTATTCTGGGGAAGCCAAAAGTCAAAATTGATCTCGTCCTCAAGGGGCTAAGAAGTCTGGCCCACCCCAAATTTATGTCGAAATTTCATAATGCCGAAATTCAGGCTGTCGAAATTTCATAATTCAGAAATTTTTACTTGGGATTTGGGGGATTTCCCGCGAAATTGGCTTATGTAAATTTCGACATTCTGAAATTTCGAAATTATGAGATTTCGACATTGGCCACTTCGTCAAATTGATGTTTCGACAAAATAAGTTCCGATGAAATGAATTGCGTAGCATGCTTTTCCACAAGATGATTTTTGACCAAATAAATGTCGACAAACGGATTATCGACAAACGAAAATAACGCTAAAATTTACTCATTTAAAATTTACTGTTAATTTTCGGCAATTTAAAAATGTGAATTTACAAAAAAGCACCTTTGGAAAAATATCAAATAAATTTCGACGCTATGAAATGTCGGCATTTTAAAAGCAGCCCGAACTGAGTGTTCACGACGATTTGCTGCATCCCCCAAATATGCAAATTTTGACGTCCTAGCCCCTTTAAACCTTTTGCCACCAAAATTTGGCCTCCCTAGAATCAAAAGAGCAATCCACCACGTGCCTGGCTTGTCCATTTGTCCATTCCGTTCCATTCTTTGATGCCTTTAATCCGCACCGAGTAAAAAAAGCAGTGCTGGTTCGAACCTCCTTGTGTCCAAAGCTGGGCGACACCGTTTTCCTTAAGTTCCGTTTCAATACCCACTTTCAGGGCGAAGACTATAAATGCGAAGAATCCCCGCCGGAGAGCTACCCCTTCGCGGTAGGCTTCCATTTTCATCAATCTCCACCTTTTTATACCTATAATTCCGTTTCATTCCACATTCCGTTGACGCTTATTAACTAACCATCGCCGATTTTGCAGTAACTAGCAGCCATATTAGTTTCGAATTAAATTATACCAGATTTTGAGAACAATTCCTTTTAATAAATCAAAATTGTCCAGACCACGCCGCGAAAATTACCTAGAAAAGCAAGCTGACACCGCGGCTTCTTTTCAGCCTCAAGAACTTCCGGATCCACCTCCGCCGGAACGTGTGACAGAGGAGCGTAACGGAGGGGTATCCCTGCTGCATCGTCGGGATCGATCATCAGCTGCTGCTCATGAGAAGACACCATTCACCGTCACACAGGGCCTCACACAATGCATGACTCGCACTGCGGTACGCCTTATCGTTTCAGATTAAATTCTACGAATTTAAGAGTTTAAAATATATTTGAAAGGTCTAGAATTACTACCGGGAAGGAGCAGTTCAAGTCATTCGGGTTCTTTGTCATTATCTAAGGGGAGGGAAAAGGGAAAGAAGCAGGGGGGAAAACAAACTTTTTCTTTAGTATCCGGCTGTCCGGCAGTTTAATATAAGTAAATTATACAAATTTTTATTAAAAATACATTTATAACGACTTTTCGACCAAAATGATCGAGGTTTAACCAAAATTCCAAACTTTAAAAATTTAAGTCAAAAACTCCAAAAAATTATCTAAGATTAAGTTACCAGACATTTCTAAAGTTTTGCAAACTCTCCCCACCCCCCGATAACGTAAAAGCACCATGTGTGTCCCTCCCAAATAAGGCCCTTCAAAATGCAAAATCTTACATTAAAAAGTACTACAAAAATTAGCGTCACCCTTTGTTGAGTGCCGAGCTTAAAAAGTGTCGAAAAACCTTTCTGTTCAGAGTGATACATTCACAAAGTACGAATTTTGTTAATCCATCCGCTTCCTAATGATTTTCTTTGCTTTGCCGTACCAGTTTTTGGATGGTATTTTGAAGAAGATACGATATCAAGGGATTTTACATCCCTAAAGAGTGCCCCCCAAACTTGTCCCTTGTTGAATACGGTATTCCATATTCTGTCAAAGGCCACTTTCCACTCCTTTTCCGCCCCTCTTATTTTGTGTCAGGCATTGAATCGAGCGCTCTTCAATGAGCCGGACCAGCCGACATTCCGGCCTCGGCTCGCCTCATGGGTCGAGTTGGAAGTGGAAACGGCCGTGAGTAGCCAACCACCGTAGTTATTGTGAATGTGAATGTTTTTCTTAACAAACCTTTTGGCTTTGTGTGCGTTTTTGGGACCATGAACTTGAGACAAGAATTTGTGGCTGAGAAAGGGTATCGAGAGAGAGCGACAGAGGGGAGAGAGAGAGTGAGAGAGGGAGTGAGAGGAGAGAAAAGAGAGAGAGGGAGTGAGAGGAGAGAGAGGGGGGAGAGAGAGAAAGGGAGAGAGGAGAGAGATAGAGAGAGAGAGAGAGAGAGAGAGAGAGAGAGCGATAGAGAGAGGGAGAGATATAGAAAGAGAGCGTAAAGACGCCGGATAAATTTAAGTTCTATCAGCTTTTTTTTAAGAAACTTTTAAATCTCCGCAACAAAAAAAAACTCTACCCCTTTTTGCTGTGAAATGTGGTGTTTTTGTCGATGTTTCGTTTTTTTTTGATATATTATAATTCACATAAAAATTGTGCGTTTTGTGTGTGCGTGTCCAGTAGACGTTTCACTACCGTCCACGTCAGTTCTTTTTTTGGTTGGCACGACCCGAAATGGATGGCACCTTTTTGCCTGGGATGGTAGTTTTCTCGGAGTGAGGTTGTAGCAATGCGTAGTTGAAGGTGGAAGTAATCAGTTTTTCCTTACAGGCTCTCGTATCGGCTACACCGCATGCGGCAGCCCATATCTACAACAAGTTCGACTTCACAAAGCCGTGCACCAAATGTGCTCTGGATAATGAGCGAACGGCTAGGAAGATTGATCGATGTGAGTTTAAAGGGAGTTAAAGGCTACGATATTCCCAATCAAAAGATCAGGCTGGAATTTTGCCATTTTGAGTCCAATCCGCTTAAAATTTGAACAAAGCTACACAAAGCTATTTTAACCGTCTAAATAAATTGTAAGCTCCCTAGCTACAATAGCCTTGGATTATTCCAAGAACATCATTTTTCTCAACATTTTTTTGCACTTTGCATCAAATAACATCAACTTCAGACAAAAAAAACCCTCATTTTTCTTAAATCAGGGTCGATTAGACCTTGTTAAAATTATTTAAATGACCGAACAAAACTTTCATAGCCGAATTTTGCTAAGAACTTTTAAGAAAATCCCTGGAAAAAAACTAAAAGCGTTCCTGGTATAAAAGGGCCGACGCTTAATCTGCTAGATAAATGCCGAGGCCCAATTCCGGCCGAATCCCGGTTAAAAACGCTAAAAAGTTGATTAATGCAATAACTCAAAAACTACTGTAGCTGGCGGACTGAAAGTTTCTGCGAACATTTTAAATACCCATGTGCAGCTCTGTTCAAAAGTTCAAGACGATCCGACCCAAAATGACAAAATGTCAGCGCTATCTTTTTACAGGGACAGCCTATACGTGCTACAAACTACGACCTACATCCTCCATTTAGATTCTCGCATCGCATTCCCGTTGGTATTTGTCATATTCTGCGTGGCATATTGGGCCTATTACTACCTAATAACGAGCCAGAAGGATGAAGAGAATATCGAAAAACCGTTCGAGTAGCATCTCTCATTCTCTCCCCTCTCCCTTTTGCGTGATATTACATCTTTTCTTTGTTTACTGTATACCCCATTTAACAATATGTACAAATTGCTTGAACCCTAAAATGCATTATTTTTTGATTATTCCCGTTCCCCGTTGCATTCACTTATCTCTTCAATTTTTAGACTAGTCGCAAAATTTTTAATGAAACGTGAACTTCAGATAATTATTAAGCTTAGCTGAAGCTAGCTAAATTTAATGATACAAATTAAAACGATGCCAAATATTTGTTTTTAAATGCTAAATAATATAATCTCTTTTTTTCAAGCACATTTGACTTCAGATCAGATTGTGAAGCACAATACGTGTTCGTGCCTTTATCCTCCACCGATATCTTAAAGTTTTACGACTGTCCTGATAAACGTTTTTGAACTATTTTCTATACATTTACAACACTATATTAAATATCTTAAATCGACACATACCAAAAAAACACTGCCAGTTTACAAGCTCTTTGCCGCGATTACCATAGCGCTTTGTAGCCCGTAGCCGGTCAAATCGTTACGCGATGAAACATACAGCCCCCAGACAGAGCGTTGGTTTCAGTTGCATTTTATTTAATTTATGTATCGACTAGGATTTTAAACAACGCAAATAACACAAAAGCTTCAACCTATTTTGTAGTTAAAAATAGTCTTTAAAAAATTTTTGTTTCAGATGGAAAAATGCCCAAAAGAAATTATGCTAAAAATTGCCGGGCTGCTCGACACCGGTTCTTTATTAAAGGTTAGTAGTGGATGCTAGCGTAATTAGCCTATCATGGCGTAATTTCGAATACGACATTAACGACAGGAATCCCTTTTATAGCTTCAACGTGCCGGTAAACGCTATGCGCGAATAATAGAAGAGAATCTCTTTGATCTAGCCGCACCTGTGGAACTTTTGGAAATTCTAGAAAAACGTAAAGGAACGGAAAAGGTATAGTAAGCTAAACGATAATTTCCTATTTTTTTTAGTCCAACACCTACATATTAAAAATGACACTTACCGGACACCGTGGTGCCCGAGAAATCCATGTTACCGACTTGGAAAAATTGGAAGCTCATGGTCTAAAACTAGAACCTGGAAAGCAAAGCCTAACCATCTCCAAAACCATAAAAGCAGTGGTAATGTATAATATTCTATTGATTATCTGCTTCAGGCCCCTATCAAAAAATTCTTTATCTACGTGAAGGACCCAAGGAAATATGTTCTGAAGTTTGTGACCAATGACCTTCGTCTGTTTTATGCAAAGAAGATAAACCTGAAACAAGTTGGTGCTCAAAAAAAAAACGAAAATTGCATAAATTTAGTTAACGCTCGACAAACGAATGTATGAGGCTTTTGAAATTGCTTTTAGGGAGAAAAGAAAGGTCGTAAAAGTAAGCGTATAGCGTTAAATTTTACATTTTTATTTTTTAATAGGCGTTAACCCTAGATTCATGTCGAATCGAAGTCCAACCGTCGGATTTTCGAAAGTTTGTATTACCTATTTTTCATATTCTTTCATTTGCAGTTTTTTATTATGGATTGGCCCTCGAGAATTGACGATTTGCCAGCTAATTACGACAATGCTTGATGAATGCGATGGCTACGTCGAAACGCTATTTTTCCTTATAGTGGTAGGCTTACGTTTTCCTACTATCAAAACCAATTCCAGGTCCCATACCTTGATTATCTATTCCTGGATAAATTCCGGAGCAAATTCCAATATACGTGGGAAGATGGGACTGACCTAGCGTTAGGAGTTCATCGAGTACATGGAGATGAGGGAGTCAAAATTACTGGGGACATTGTGGGTCTATCTTTTAGTATGCATGCCCTTTTTACATAAAATTTTACGAAGCCTATTTTTTGCTGATTAAAACGCTGTATTTAAAACACAACACGCCCAGAAAAACCAGTTATTTAGCGAAACAGCCGAAAGTTGTTCATTTTCGGCATTTTTGTCAAACTTTAGAGCTTCATCATTTTTTACTTATGGTCGTTTTTGTAATTTTTGAAAATTAGGTTTTGATCAGCAACAAAAATCTGCACTTGTCAGTCTCTTCTAACCTTATTTTTCTAGCTACCTCCCTTCATGAGTATTTTGCGATTTTATAACATGGATGGCATGGACGAGAGGGATTTTTATAAATATTTGGAGGTTTGTTATCAAATTTATTTTTTATTTTTCCCTTCCAGAATTGGCTCGCCGGCACCCAAAAAATAACATTCTGGCGTTTCCAATTGTGCTACCAGGAATATTTTGAAGACGAAAACAACCAGCACCAAAAATTCCGGGCCCGCTTTTTGGATCGTATTCCGGCAAAGTCGTGTCTGGTAAGCGGTACCCTAGCCAGAATACAGGGTGTATCAAAAAAAAGTTCCGAAGTTTGTCCCCAATTATCTCGAGAAGGAAAGATATTTCACCGTGCGTTACCATGCCAGAGTGCTTAAATATGCTGGGTATGAAGATTTAACACAACTTGATTTTTTCGATTTTTGAGTACACAACTGTACATTTGACGCTGGTTACGACCGAAAATTGTGCGTTCTTGAACGGGTGGTGGGAAAATTCTGATTTTTGGCCCAAAAATACTTGATATTTGTAGAAAAATAATAGCAAAGTCTTAGAATTTTTGAAGGTTTAGTTCTTTTTTTACAGGCAAAACAAATTTCCATATTTTGCTTATTTTTACTTTTTAATTCGCAACTCGCTTCAAATACGCTGCCCATGGCTGATCTTTTGCAGATGGTGTCTCCGAATGATAATCTTTAGCACAATACCAAATTTTACCTGATTCTATGGTATTTTAATATTGCTTGCTAAAACGTGCCCCAGAGGGATACTGTAGCTTTTGTTTTTCGCGTTTTTCTTTTTATTGTAAGCTGCGATTTCCCTCAAAATTTTATCATTGGTAAACACCAGTAAGGGTCACCTATGGGCTAAATATCGCAAAGTTCTAGCCATACACCTTCCCAAAATATGCAAAAAACTTATTTTAGCATTTAGCCACGGAATTGTCTAAATATTTTGATGCATCGGACTAAAAACTACTATTATTTGTTTTCTCGAAAGATCGAAACGTTTCTGTGGTGAAAAGAACGAGAAAACGACGATTTTCTGTTTTCTACCGTAACCCACCTGGAGCGCGTTTTAGCATGCTAATACAAAATGCCATAAAATGCCAATTTTTCTATTCTAGACTGTTCACTGGGCGATTGTAAGAGCACCTACAGAAAATTACTTGATTCCTGTGGTAAATTACAAAGTTATGAGGGAAGGAAGAAAACCCTCCTCGGGGCCCCATTTTGGAACTGAGGCCCCGGGCCGAAAATCGAATTTTTGAAAATGAAAAAGGCGCCGGAGTTTCGTGGATATAATTAAAGCATGCATCGAACTGTGCATGAGAGCAGAATTCTGGAATGATCTGGATGAAGTTAATGGTTAATTTTGATTTAAAACCCGAACATAACGTTTTTGAAAAGCCGACTTTGGGGCGCTCTTCTAAATTCGTTTGCCATGAAAAGGCTTTGTATTTGCATGCGTTTTAGTTGATTACCCAAGCTACGTCTATGCCAGAAAAATCGGGGCTACTAAACCCTCGAGAATTTTTTTTACGTCGCCTCAAAGTCGGGTATATTTCGACACTTCATGGATTTATTTTGAAAGATCGGATGGCCCAAATAAAATAGTAGATATAATTTTAGAATGCGCCCATTAAGTAGTATTAAATAAAATTATGACAATAATTCTAGCCGCGCAACTGAATTTTATAGACTGGCGCGAAGGTCTGCGAAATAGCAAGAACCAACCGTTTTGGAAGCGCTAAAAGGCAACCTTCCAGAGGGGTACGGTAGCTAGAAATTGTTTTGATTATAGATGTTCCCCAGTCCTACACAACTAAGCAAAGCAAACACCGAAATTCTATCTGCAGTTTTAGAAATATTTTTCCAAAGTTCAGTTTCGTCACCCCAAAAAAATCCATGACCAGGGGGTCGTTGAAAAACTTGAAAATTCATTAATCTCAAAAAAATTCTTTGAAGTGTTTGTGCGATTGTACAGAGCTTGTAGGTATTCCAGAACAATCTATTTTCGGGTTTCCGCCATAGGTTTTTGTAATATTCGATATTTACGAAATTTCTCCATACTAAATTTGAGCACGCTATAACTTGTGAACCAGACCTTCGAAAATTCCAAAATTTCGGATGTGCGTAGGGACAGTTCTGATGTATCCACACTGTAAAAACTGAAACAGCTCGACCACCAGCAATTCACAAAAATGCAAACGAAGTTTTGCCGGAACGCACAGTTTTCGGGTGTCATACGTCGCCAAAAATCGAAAAAATCAAGTTGTGTTAAATCTTCATACCCAGCATATTTAAGCATTCTGGCATGGTAACGCACGGTGAAATATCTTTCCTTCTCGAGATAATTGGGGACAAACTTCGGAACTTTTTTTTGATACACCCTGTATAATTTCTAGGTTCGAGCCGAGCCGGAGTATTTCGAATTCTTGACGCTGGAAAGTGAACGAGGCGGGACGTTATTTATCAATTTCCGGGTGGCCATCAATTTTGGGCCACGGATCGTGCTTCAGAATTATCCATTTTATTAAGCGAGAGGGGCTTGAAATAAATGTTTTTATTTTGCATAAAAATATGGTACTAAAGACACTTCCACGAAATTAAAGAGCAAAAACTAACAGTGAAGCGCCTTCCATGATATCACACATTTGCAGTTTTACTGCAAAAATGCAGTCCAAGGTTACACCTGTAATTCTGGGTAATTCCGCGACCATAAATTCGCAAAGAAGCCGAAGCACCTGGTCCGGAGCACAGCGAAAGCCTATTACTTTCCCATTTTATCATTTGATTTTCCGAGTAAGAGGATCACAAATGCTTTCTTACTTGATGCAAAAGTATCTAAAATGTTTACAGAAATTTTCAGCTCGCTATCTACAGTAGCATTTGAGTTACCGCAAAAATAAGCCTTATTGTACGTTTCTAACCCGGATTTCACCGGAATTGAGCCTCGGAATGTATGGCAAAAATGAAGCTCAGACCCGATTTAATCCTAAAAATATCTTAGAATAAAAGTAATATCTAAAACCAGCGCGAAATTCGGCCTGACGGCCGAGAAATCGTCTGCACCGAAAACAAACATACTTTTCTCGCTTATAGGATAGGATTGCTTAGAGTGTTTATGTAAGTCATCTTAAAAAAGTGGGAATCAGATATTTGGAGCTCAAATCTACAGTTAGCGCGTAAGGTCGTTGTACGCAACTGTACGCTCGTATGGTTGCGATGATTTTTCGAAACTTGGAAAATCATACTGTTTCAGCAAGTGGCCGCAAGGGAAAAGTCGCTCACCTGGAGTCAAGACAGATGGTAAGAGCGGCGAACCAACCATAGCATCGGTTTAATTACCCAAGTTTGAGGTTAGCATTAACCCCGAGACCTCGACGAGTGTCTCGAACAAATTTTGGAAAGCATTTCCTTCGGGAAGTGCACAAATAATTCAAATGTAAGACGACTTCACGAAAATCTTGAATGTGGCTACGCAGCGCGTATGGTCGTTGTACGCAACTGTACGCTGGTCAGGTTGCGATGATTTTTCGAAACTTGGAAAATCATACTGTTTCAGCAAGTGGCCGCAAGGGAAAAGTCGCTCACCTGGAGTCAAGACAGATGGTAAGAGCGGCGAACCAAGCACAGCTTCGGTTTAATTACCCAAGTTTGAGGTTAGCATTAACCCCGAGACCTCGACGAGTGTCTCGAACAAATTTTGGAAAGCATTTCCTTCGGGAAGTGCACAAATCATTCAAATGTAAGACGACTTCACGAAAACCTTGAATGTGCGATACGCAGCGCGTATGGTCGTTGTACGCAACTGTACGCTAAGGGTCTTTGGGGGGGGGGGAAGGGGGGGTATGGTTGCGATGATTTTTCGAAACTTGGAAAATCATACTGTTTCAGCAAGTGGCCGCAAGGGAAAAGTCGCTCACCTGGAGTCAAGACAGATGGTAAGAGCGGCCAACCAAGCACAGCTTCGGTTTAATTACCCAAGTTTGAGGTTAGCATTAACCCCGAGACCTCGACGAGTGTCTCGAACAAATTTTGGAACGCATTTCCTTCGGGAAGTGCACAAATCATGCAAATGTAAGACGACTTCACGAAAATTTTGAATGTGGCTACGCAGCGCGTATGGTCGTTGTACGCAACTGTACGGTGAAGGGTTTTTTGCCTCTTTTGGGGGGGGAACGGGGGGGGGAAGGGGTTTTTTAAAAACAAAATAAAATTGGGGGGGAAAAAAAAAAAAAAAAAAAACGAAAAAAAAATGGGGGGGGGGGGGGGTATGGTTGCGATGATTTTTCGAAACTTGGAAAATCATACTGTTTCAGCAAGTGGCCGCAAGGGAAAAGTCGCTCACCTGGAGTCAAGACAGATGGTAAGAGCGGCGAACCAAGCACAGCTTCGGTTTAATTACCCAAGTTTGAGGTTAGCATTAACCCCGAGACCTCGACGAGTGTCTCGAACAAATTTTGGAACGCATTTCCTTCGGGAAGTGCACAAATCATTCAAATGTAAGACGACTTCACGAAAACCTTGAATGTGCGATACGCAGCGCGTATGGTCGTTGTACGCAACTGTACGCTGGTCAGGTTGCGATGATTTTTCGAAACTTGGAAAATCATACTGTTTCAGCAAGTGGCCGCAAGGGAAAAGTCGCTCACCTGGAGTCAAGACAGATGGTAAGAGCGGCGAACCAAGCACAGCTTCGGTTTAATTACCCAAGTTTGAGGTTAGCATTAACCCCGAGACCTCGACGAGTGTCTCGAACAAATTTTGGAACGCATTTCCTTCGGGAAGTGCACAAATCATTCAAATGTAAGACGACTTCACGAAAACCTTGAATGTGCGATACGCAGCGCGTATGGTCGTTGTACGCAACTGTACGCTCGTATGGTTGCGATGATTTTTCGAAACTTGGAAAATCATACTGTTTCAGCAAGTGGCCGCAAGGGAAAAGTCGCTCACCTGGAGTCAAGACAGATGGTAAGAGCGGCCAACCAACCACAGCTTCGGTTTAATTACCCAAGTTTGAGGTTAGCATTAACCCCGAGACCTCGACGAGTGTCTCGAACAAATTTTGGAAAGCATTTCCTTCGGGAAGTGCACAAATCATTCAAATGTAAGACGACTTCACGAAAACCTTGAATGTGCCTACGCAGCGCGTATGGTCGTTGTACGCAACTGTACGTTGCTGGTCAGGTTGCGATGATTTTTCGAAACTTGGAAAATCATACTGTTTCAGCAAGTGGCCGCAAGGGAAAAGTCGCTCACCTGGAGTCAAGACAGATGGTAAGAGCGGCGAACCAAGCACAGCTTCGGTTTAATTACCCAAGTTTGAGGTTAGCATTAACCCCGAGACCTCGACGAGTGTCTCGAACAAATTTTGGAAAGCATTTCCTTCGGGAAGTGCACAAATCATTCAAATGTAAGACGACTTCACGAAAACCTTGAATGTGCCTACGCAGCGCGTATGGTCGTTGTACGCAACTGTACGCTGGTCAGGTTGCGATGATTTTTCGAAACTTGGAAAATCATACTGTTTCAGCAAGTGGCCGCAAGGGAAAAGTCGCTCACCTGGAGTCAAGACAGATGGTAAGAGCGGCGAACCAAGCACAGCTTCGGTTTAATTACCCAAGTTTGAGGTTAGCATTAACCCCGAGACCTCGACGAGTGTCTCGAACAAATTTTGGAACGCATTTCCTTCGGGAAGTGCACAAATCATGCAAATGTAAGACGACTTCACGAAAACCTTGAATGTGCGATACGCAGCGCGTATGTTCGTTGTACGCAACTGTACGCTGGTCTGGTTGCGATGATTTTTCGAAACTTGGAAAATCATACTGTTTCAGCAAGTGGCCGCAAGGGAAAAGTCGCTCACCTGGAGTCAAGACAGATGGTAAGAGCGGCGAACCAAGCACAGCTTCGGTTTAATTACCCAAGTTTGAGGTTAGCATTAACCCCGAGACCTCGACGAGTGTCTCGAACAAATTTTGGAAAGCATTTCCTTCGGGAAGTGCACAAATCATTCAAATGTAAGACGACTTCACGAAAACCTTGAATGTGCCTACGCAGCGCGTATGGTCGTTGTACGCAACTGTACGCTGGTCATGGTTGCGATGATTTTTCGAAACTTGGAAAATCATACTGTTTCAGCAAGTGGCCGCAAGGGAAAAGTCGCTCACCTGGAGTCAAGACAGATGGTAAGAGCGGCGAACCAAGCACAGCTTCGGTTTAATTACCCAAGTTTGAGGTTAGCATTAACCCCGAGACCTCGACGAGTGTCTCGAACAAATTTTGGAACGCATTTCCTTCGGGAAGTGCACAAATCATTCAAATGTAAGACGACTTCACGAAAACCTTGAATGTGCCTACGCAGCGCGTATGGTCGTTGTACGCAACTGTACGCTGGTCAGGTTGCGATGATTTTTCGAAACTTGGAAAATCATACTGTTTCAGCAAGTGGCCGCAAGGGAAAAGTCGCTCACCTGGAGTCAAGGCAGATGGTAAGAGCGGCCAGCCAAGGACAGCTTCGGTTTAATTACCCAAGTTTGAGGTTAGCATTAACCCCGAGACCTCGACGAGTGTCTCGAACAAATTTTGGAACGCATTTCCTTCGGGAAGTGCACAAATCATTCAAATGTAAGACGACTTCACGAAAACCTTGAATGTGCGATACGCAGCGCGTATGGTCGTTGTACGCAACTGTACGCTGGTCTGGTTGCGATGATTTTTCGAAACTTGGAAAATCATACTGTTTCAGCAAGTGGCCGCAAGGGAAAAGTCGCTCACCTGGAGTCAAGGCAGATGGTAAGAGCGGCGAACCAAGCACAGCTTCGGTTTAATTACCCAAGTTTGAGGTTAGCATTAACCCCGAGACCTCGACGAGTGTCTCGAACAAATTTTGGAAAGCATTTCCTTCGGGAAGTGCACAAATCATTCAAATGTAAGGCGGCTACACGAAAACCTTGAATGTGCCTACGCAGCGCGTATGGTCGTTGTACGCAACTGTACGCTGGGTCATGGTTGCGATGATTTTTCGAAACTTGGAAAATCATACTGTTTCAGCAAGTGGCCGCAAGGGAAAAGTCGCTCACCTGGAGTCAAGACAGATGGTAAGAGCGGCGAACCAAGCACAGCTTCGGTTTAATTACCCAAGTTTGAGGTTAGCATTAACCCCGAGACCTCGACGAGTGTCTCGAACAAATTTTGGAAAGCATTTCCTTCGGGAAGTGCACAAATCATTCAAATGTAAGGCGGCTACACGAAAACCTTGAATGTGCCTACGCAGCGCGTATGGTCGTTGTACGCAACTGTACGCTGGTCAGGTTGCGATGATTTTTCGAAACTTGGAAAATCATACTGTTTCAGCAAGTGGCCGCAAGGGAAAAGTCGCTCACCTGGAGTCAAGACAGATGGTAAGAGCGGCGAACCAAGCACAGCTTCGGTTTAATTACCCAAGTTTGAGGTTAGCATTAACCCCGAGACCTCGACGAGTGTCTCGAACAAATTTTGGAAAGCATTTCCTTCGGGAAGTGCACAACTCATTCAAATGTAAGGCGGCTTCACGAAAACCTTGAATGTGCGATACGCAGCGCGTATGTTCGTTGTACGCAACTGTACGCTGGTCAGGTTGCGATGATTTTTCGAAACTTGGAAAATCATACTGTTTCAGCAAGTGGCCGCAAGGGAAAAGTCGCTCACCTGGAGTCAAGACAGATGGTAAGAGCGGCGAACCAAGCACAGCTTCGGTTTAATTACCCAAGTTTGAGGTTAGCATTAACCCCGAGACCTCGACGAGTGTCTCGAACAAATTTTGGAAAGCATTTCCTTCGGGAAGTGCACAAATCATTCAAATGTAAGGCGGCTTCACGAAAACCTTGAATGTGCGATACGCAGCGCGTATGGTCGTTGTACGCAACTGTACGCTGGTCATGGTTGCGATGATTTTTCGAAACTTGGAAAATCATACTGTTTCAGCAAGTGGCCGCAAGGGAAAAGTCGCTCACCTGGAGTCAAGACAGATGGTAAGAGCGGCGAACCAAGCACAGCTTCGGTTTAATTACCCAAGTTTGAGGTTAGCATTAACCCCGAGACCTCGACGAGTGTCTCGAACAAATTTTGGAAAGCATTTCCTTCGGGAAGTGCACAAATCATTCAAATGTAAGACGACTTCACGAAAATCTTGAATGTGCGATACGCAGCGCGTATGGTCGTTGTACGCAACTGTACGCTGGTCATGGTTGCGATGATTTTTCGAAACTTGGAAAATCATACTGTTTCAGCAAGTGGCCGCAAGGGAAAAGTCGCTCACCTGGAGTCAAGGCAGATGGTAAGAGCGGCGAACCAAGCACAGCTTCGGTTTAATTACCCAAGTTTGAGGTTAGCATTAACCCCGAGACCTCGACGAGTGTCTCGAACAAATTTTGGAAAGCATTTCCTTCGGGAAGTGCACAAATAATTCAAATGTAAGACGACTTCACGAAAACCTTGAATGTGCGCTACGCAGCGCGTATGGTCGTTGTACGCAACTGTACGGCGCTGGTCAGGTTGCGATGATTTTTCGAAACTTGGAAAATCATACTGTTTCAGCAAGTGGCCGCAAGGGAAAAGTCGCTCACCTGGAGTCAAGACAGATGGTAAGAGCGGCGAACCAAGCACAGCTTCGGTTTAATTACCCAAGTTTGAGGTTAGCATTAACCCCGAGACCTCGACGAGTGTCTCGAACAAATTTTGGAAAGCATTTCCTTCGGGAAGTGCACAACTCATTCAAATGTAAGGCGGCTTCACGAAAACCTTGAATGTGCGATACGCAGCGCGTATGGTCGTTGTACGCAACTGTACGCTGGTCAGGTTGCGATGATTTTTCGAAACTTGGAAAATCATACTGTTTCAGCAAGTGGCCGCAAGGGAAAAGTCGCTCACCTGGAGTCAAGACAGATGGTAAGAGCGGCGAACCAAGCACAGCTTCGGTTTAATTACCCAAGTTTGAGGTTAGCATTAACCCCGAGACCTCGACGAGTGTCTCGAACAAATTTTGGAAAGCATTTCCTTCGGGAAGTGCACAAATCATTCAAATGTAAGACGACTTCACGAAAACCTTGAATGTGCGCTACGCAGCGCGTATGGTCGTTGTACGCAACTGTACGCTGGTCAGGTTGCGATGATTTTTCGAAACTTGGAAAATCATACTGTTTCAGCAAGTGGCCGCAAGGGAAAAGTCGCTCACCTGGAGTCAAGGCAGATGGTAAGAGCGGCGAACCAAGCACAGCTTCGGTTTAATTACCCAAGTTTGAGGTTAGCATTAACCCCGAGACCTCGACGAGTGTCTCGAACAAATTTTGGAACGCATTTCCTTCGGGAAGTGCACAAATCATTCAAATGTAAGACGACTTCACGAAAACCTTGAATGTGCGCTACGCAGCGCGTATGGTCGTTGTACGCAACTGTACGCTGGTCTGGTTGCGATGATTTTTCGAAACTTGGAAAATCATACTGTTTCAGCAAGTGGCCGCAAGGGAAAAGTCGCTCACCTGGAGTCAAGGCAGATGGTAAGAGCGGCGAACCAAGCACAGCTTCGGTTTAATTACCCAAGTTTGAGGTTAGCATTAACCCCGAGACCTCGACGAGTGTCTCGAACAAATTTTGGAACGCATTTCCTTCGGGAAGTGCACAAATCATTCAAATGTAAGACGACTTCACGAAAACCTTGAATGTGCGCTACGCAGCGCGTATGGTCGTTGTACGCAACTGTACGCTGGTCATGGTTGCGATGATTTTTCGAAACTTGGAAAATCATACTGTTTCAGCAAGTGGCCGCAAGGGAAAAGTCGCTCACCTGGAGTCAAGACAGATGGTAAGAGCGGCGAACCAAGCACAGCTTCGGTTTAATTACCCAAGTTTGAGGTTAGCATTAACCCCGAGACCTCGACGAGTGTCTCGAACAAATTTTGGAAAGCATTTCCTTCGGGAAGTGCACAAATCATTCAAATGTAAGACGGCTTCACGAAAACCTTGAATGTGCGCTACGCAGCGCGTATGGTCGTTGTACGCAACTGTACGCTGGTCAGGTTGCGATGATTTTTCGAAACTTGGAAAATCATACTGTTTCAGCAAGTGGCCGCAAGGGAAAAGTCGCTCACCTGGAGTCAAGGCAGATGGTAAGAGCGGCGAACCAAGCACAGCTTCGGTTTAATTACCCAAGTTTGAGGTTAGCATTAACCCCGAGACCTCGACGAGTGTCTCGAACAAATTTTGGAAAGCATTTCCTTCGGGAAGTGCACAAATCATTCAAATGTAAGACGACTTCACGAAAACCTTGAATGTGCGCTACGCAGCGCGTATGGTCGTTGTACGCAACTGTACGCTGGTCAGGTTGCGATGATTTTTCGAAACTTGGAAAATCATACTGTTTCAGCAAGTGGCCGCAAGGGAAAAGTCGCTCACCTGGAGTCAAGACAGATGGTAAGAGCGGCGAACCAAGCACAGCTTCGGTTTAATTACCCAAGTTTGAGGTTAGCATTAACCCCGAGACCTCGACGAGTGTCTCGAACAAATTTTGGAAAGCATTTCCTTCGGGAAGTGCACAACTCATTCAAATGTAAGGCGGCTTCACGAAAACCTTGAATGTGCGATACGCAGCGCGTATGTTCGTTGTACGCAACTGTACGCTGGTCTGGTTGCGATGATTTTTCGAAACTTGGAAAATCATACTGTTTCAGCAAGTGGCCGCAAGGGAAAAGTCGCTCACCTGGAGTCAAGACAGATGGTAAGAGCGGCGAACCAAGCACAGCTTCGGTTTAATTACCCAAGTTTGAGGTTAGCATTAACCCCGAGACCTCGACGAGTGTCTCGAACAAATTTTGGAACGCATTTCCTTCGGGAAGTGCACAAATCATTCAAATGTAAGACGACTTCACGAAAACCTTGAATGTGCGCTACGCAGCGCGTATGGTCGTTGTACGCAACTGTACGCTGGTCAAGGTTGCGATGATTTTTCGAAACTTGGAAAATCATACTGTTTCAGCAAGTGGCCGCAAGGGAAAAGTCGCTCACCTGGAGTCAAGGCAGATGGTAAGAGCGGCGAACCAAGCACAGCTTCGGTTTAATTACCCAAGTTTGAGGTTAGCATTAACCCCGAGACCTCGACGAGTGTCTCGAACAAATTTTGGAAAGCATTTCCTTCGGGAAGTGCACAAATCATTCAAATGTAAGACGGCTTCACGAAAACCTTGAATGTGCGCTACGCAGCGCGTATGGTCGTTGTACGCAACTGTACGCTGGTCTGGTTGCGATGATTTTTCGAAACTTGGAAAATCATACTGTTTCAGCAAGTGGCCGCAAGGGAAAAGTCGCTCACCTGGAGTCAAGACAGATGGTAAGAGCGGCGAACCAAGCACAGCTTCGGTTTAATTACCCAAGTTTGAGGTTAGCATTAACCCCGAGACCTCGACGAGTGTCTCGAACAAATTTTGGAAAGCATTTCCTTCGGGAAGTGCACAAATCATTCAAATGTAAGGCGGCTTCACGAAAACCTTGAATGTGCGATACGCAGCGCGTATGGTCGTTGTACGCAACTGTACGCTGGTCAGGTTGCGATGATTTTTCGAAACTTGGAAAATCATACTGTTTCAGCAAGTGGCCGCAAGGGAAAAGTCGCTCACCTGGAGTCAAGACAGATGGTAAGAGCGGCGAACCAAGCACAGCTTCGGTTTAATTACCCAAGTTTGAGGTTAGCATTAACCCCGAGACCTCGACGAGTGTCTCGAACAAATTTTGGAACGCATTTCCTTCGGGAAGTGCACAAATCATTCAAATGTAAGACGGCTTCACGAAAACCTTGAATGTGCGCTACGCAGCGCGTATGGTCGTTGTACGCAACTGTACGCTGGTCATGGTTGCGATGATTTTTCGAAACTTGGAAAATCATACTGTTTCAGCAAGTGGCCGCAAGGGAAAAGTCGCTCACCTGGAGTCAAGACAGATGGTAAGAGCGGCGAACCAAGCACAGCTTCGGTTTAATTACCCAAGTTTGAGGTTAGCATTAACCCCGAGACCTCGACGAGTGTCTCGAACAAATTTTGGAAAGCATTTCCTTCGGGAAGTGCACAAATCATTCAAATGTAAGACGACTTCACGAAAACCTTGAATGTGCGCTACGCAGCGCGTATGGTCGTTGTACGCAACTGTACGCTGGTCAAGGTTGCGATGATTTTTCGAAACTTGGAAAATCATACTGTTTCAGCAAGTGGCCGCAAGGGAAAAGTCGCTCACCTGGAGTCAAGACAGATGGTAAGAGCGGCGAACCAAGCACAGCTTCGGTTTAATTACCCAAGTTTGAGGTTAGCATTAACCCCGAGACCTCGACGAGTGTCTCGAACAAATTTTGGAAAGCATTTCCTTCGGGAAGTGCACAAATCATTCAAATGTAAGGCGGCTTCACGAAAACCTTGAATGTGCGATACGCAGCGCGTATGTTCGTTGTACGCAACTGTACGCTGGTCTGGTTGCGATGATTTTTCGAAACTTGGAAAATCATACTGTTTCAGCAAGTGGCCGCAAGGGAAAAGTCGCTCACCTGGAGTCAAGACAGATGGTAAGAGCGGCGAACCAAGCACAGCTTCGGTTTAATTACCCAAGTTTGAGGTTAGCATTAACCCCGAGACCTCGACGAGTGTCTCGAACAAATTTTGGAAAGCATTTCCTTCGGGAAGTGCACAACTCATTCAAATGTAAGGCGGCTTCACGAAAACCTTGAATGTGCGATACGCAGCGCGTATGTTCGTTGTACGCAACTGTACGCTGGTCTGGTTGCGATGATTTTTCGAAACTTGGAAAATCATACTGTTTCAGCAAGTGGCCGCAAGGGAAAAGTCGCTCACCTGGAGTCAAGACAGATGGTAAGAGCGGCGAACCAAGCACAGCTTCGGTTTAATTACCCAAGTTTGAGGTTAGCATTAACCCCGAGACCTCGACGAGTGTCTCGAACAAATTTTGGAAAGCATTTCCTTCGGGAAGTGCACAAATCATTCAAATGTAAGACGGCTTCACGAAAACCTTGAATGTGCGCTACGCAGCGCGTATGGTCGTTGTACGCAACTGTACGCTGGTCTGGTTGCGATGATTTTTCGAAACTTGGAAAATCATACTGTTTCAGCAAGTGGCCGCAAGGGAAAAGTCGCTCACCTGGAGTCAAGACAGATGGTAAGAGCGGCGAACCAAGCACAGCTTCGGTTTAATTACCCAAGTTTGAGGTTAGCATTAACCCCGAGACCTCGACGAGTGTCTCGAACAAATTTTGGAAAGCATTTCCTTCGGGAAGTGCACAACTCATTCAAATGTAAGACGACTTCACGAAAACCTTGAATGTGCGCTACGCAGCGCGTATGGTCGTTGTACGCAACTGTACGCTGGTCATGGTTGCGATGATTTTTCGAAACTTGGAAAATCATACTGTTTCAGCAAGTGGCCGCAAGGGAAAAGTCGCTCACCTGGAGTCAAGACAGATGGTAAGAGCGGCGAACCAAGCACAGCTTCGGTTTAATTACCCAAGTTTGAGGTTAGCATTAACCCCGAGACCTCGACGAGTGTCTCGAACAAATTTTGGAAAGCATTTCCTTCGGGAAGTGCACAAATCATTCAAATGTAAGACGACTTCACGAAAACCTTGAATGTGCGATACGCAGCGCGTATGGTCGTTGTACGCAACTGTACGCTGGTCTGGTTGCGATGATTTTTCGAAACTTGGAAAATCATACTGTTTCAGCAAGTGGCCGCAAGGGAAAAGTCGCTCACCTGGAGTCAAGACAGATGGTAAGAGCGGCGAACCAAGCACAGCTTCGGTTTAATTACCCAAGTTTGAGGTTAGCATTAACCCCGAGACCTCGACGAGTGTCTCGAACAAATTTTGGAAAGCATTTCCTTCGGGAAGTGCACAACTCATTCAAATGTAAGGCGGCTACACGAAAACCTTGAATGTGCCTACGCAGCGCGTATGGTCGTTGTACGCAACTGTACGCTGGTCAGGTTGCGATGATTTTTCGAAACTTGGAAAATCATACTGTTTCAGCAAGTGGCCGCAAGGGAAAAGTCGCTCACCTGGAGTCAAGACAGATGGTAAGAGCGGCGAACCAAGCACAGCTTCGGTTTAATTACCCAAGTTTGAGGTTAGCATTAACCCCGAGACCTCGACGAGTGTCTCGAACAAATTTTGGAAAGCATTTCCTTCGGGAAGTGCACAAATCATTCAAATGTAAGACGACTTCACGAAAACCTTGAATGTGCCTACGCAGCGCGTATGGTCGTTGTACGCAACTGTACGCTGGTCTGGTTGCGATGATTTTTCGAAACTTGGAAAATCATACTGTTTCAGCAAGTGGCCGCAAGGGAAAAGTCGCTCACCTGGAGTCAAGACAGATGGTAAGAGCGGCGAACCAAGCACAGCTTCGGTTTAATTACCCAAGTTTGAGGTTAGCATTAACCCCGAGACCTCGACGAGTGTCTCGAACAAATTTTGGAAAGCATTTCCTTCGGGAAGTGCACAAATCATTCAAATGTAAGACGACTTCACGAAAACCTTGAATGTGCGATACGCAGCGCGTATGGTCGTTGTACGCAACTGTACGCTGGTCTGGTTGCGATGATTTTTCGAAACTTGGAAAATCATACTGTTTCAGCAAGTGGCCGCAAGGGAAAAGTCGCTCACCTGGAGTCAAGACAGATGGTAAGAGCGGCGAACCAAGCACAGCTTCGGTTTAATTACCCAAGTTTGAGGTTAGCATTAACCCCGAGACCTCGACGAGTGTCTCGAACAAATTTTGGAAAGCATTTCCTTCGGGAAGTGCACAACTCATTCAAATGTAAGGCGGCTACACTAAAACCTTGAATGTGCCTACGCAGCGCGTATGGTCGTTGTACGCAACTGTACGCTGGTCTGGTTGCGATGATTTTTCGAAACTTGGAAAATCATACTGTTTCAGCAAGTGGCCGCAAGGGAAAAGTCGCTCACCTGGAGTCAAGACAGATGGTAAGAGCGGCGAACCAAGCACAGCTTCGGTTTAATTACCCAAGTTTGAGGTTAGCATTAACCCCGAGACCTCGACGAGTGTCTCGAACAAATTTTGGAAAGCATTTCCTTCGGGAAGTGCACAAATCATTCAAATGTAAGACGACTTCACGAAAACCTTGAATGTGCGATACGCAGCGCGTATGGTCGTTGTACGCAACTGTACGCTGGTCAGGTTGCGATGATTTTTCGAAACTTGGAAAATCATACTGTTTCAGCAAGTGGCCGCAAGGGAAAAGTCGCTCACCTGGAGTCAAGACAGATGGTAAGAGCGGCGAACCAAGCACAGCTTCGGTTTAATTACCCAAGTTTGAGGTTAGCATTAACCCCGAGACCTCGACGAGTGTCTCGAACAAATTTTGGAAAGCATTTCCTTCGGGAAGTGCACAACTCATTCAAATGTAAGACGGCTTCACGAAAACCTTGAATGTGCGATACGCAGCGCGTATGTTCGTTGTACGCAACTGTACGCTGGTCTGGTTGCGATGATTTTTCGAAACTTGGAAAATCATACTGTTTCAGCAAGTGGCCGCAAGGGAAAAGTCGCTCACCTGGAGTCAAGACAGATGGTAAGAGCGGCGAACCAAGCACAGCTTCGGTTTAATTACCCAAGTTTGAGGTTAGCATTAACCCCGAGACCTCGACGAGTGTCTCGAACAAATTTTGGAAAGCATTTCCTTCGGGAAGTGCACAACTCATTCAAATGTAAGGCGGCTACACGAAAACCTTGAATGTGCGATACGCAGCGCGTATGGTCGTTGTACGCAACTGTACGCTGGTCTGGTTGCGATGATTTTTCGAAACTTGGAAAATCATACTGTTTCAGCAAGTGGCCGCAAGGGAAAAGTCGCTCACCTGGAGTCAAGACAGATGGTAAGAGCGGCGAACCAAGCACAGCTTCGGTTTAATTACCCAAGTTTGAGGTTAGCATTAACCCCGAGACCTCGACGAGTGTCTCGAACAAATTTTGGAACGCATTTCCTTCGGGAAGTGCACAAATCATTCAAATGTAAGACGACTTCACGAAAACCTTGAATGTGCGATACGCAGCGCGTATGGTCGTTGTACGCAACTGTACGCTGGTCTGGTTGCGATGATTTTTCGAAACTTGGAAAATCATACTGTTTCAGCAAGTGGCCGCAAGGGAAAAGTCGCTCACCTGGAGTCAAGACAGATGGTAAGAGCGGCGAACCAAGCACAGCTTCGGTTTAATTACCCAAGTTTGAGGTTAGCATTAACCCCGAGACCTCGACGAGTGTCTCGAACAAATTTTGGAAAGCATTTCCTTCGGGAAGTGCACAAATCATTCAAATGTAAGACGACTTCACGAAAACCTTGAATGTGC